TACACACATACACACAGCAATCCATCACTGTATTATTGTTTTTATTCTTTGTAGTTAACTGAAGTAATATCTCTTTTTTTTTAAAAAAGAAATATAAATTTAATAATTACAGTGATTTAGCTGATATTAGCTTAACTTCAATTTTATATTTGATATCAAACTATATCTTCTTTTGTTTTTCACAAATAGTTTGTGCTCTAGATCACACGTTCTTTTATAAGTTCACGATGTTTATTCTTTTCTTTTCTTTTCCAATAGTATCCATATATGGTCTTTTTAATAAACAAAAAAAAACAAAAAAAAAAACTAATTTGGATACTGTTTTACTCTTTTCCATTAGTATAATACAATTTTTGACTATGTGTAAAGTAATATGTTTGAATTAACATTGGAAAGATATTAAACACTGATTAATACATTATTACACAATATATGATTAAGTAATGTTAAATTATAATTCATTTAATCAGCTTTTCTAACAGTTGGAGATTGATTATCATAGAGTGATTCAGATCTATCATAATATATAATTTAAATTAATAAATGTTAATCAGTATAATGTATAATGTTTGATTACAATTTTTAAATTACTTCTTATCCAAAGATGGATAGTGGCTAGCAATCGAACCCAGGATGCGTGTTTTGTCCTATTTAGGACTCGTCAATTGGATGTATTTGCAAGCAAACAACAACAAGTGGAGTTTTACCTGTTATCCGTTTGATATTTAAATTACTGAAAAAAATGTATTCTAGCCTTATACATCATGAAGTGTTAGGTTATGTTACTGAAGGATTTCTGATGGTTAGCCTGTTCAACCGGTAATCTTATAGAGATTGATCACTTATAGTCTTCAAAATTAACGACAGAAAATTCCTAACTCTTATGTACGATCAACATGATCTTTAACTTTGTTATTATAAAGTGTGTACAATTTAAATGACCATTGTTTTGATAAAGTGATAATCTGTCATAAATAGCTTACACAATTCCCAAAACCGTGTAATGAAAGTTTATTGAGTAGCATCAAAGAATGTTTTTTATGGTTGAGATTATGAACCGATTGATGTTAGACCACCATTGAAAACTTGGAAGCACTGGACAGCCGTTTCGTTCCAGTATGGGACTCCTCAGCAGTGCCTATCCACCATCCCACTCGGGGGATTCGAATGTTCTTTAGTATACCATATGGTTATTTTAACACAGATAAATTGAATGACAAAAACTTTCATATCTTGAATATTTATGGTAATTTATCATAACATAGTTTTCTTCAAAATAATACAATGAATTACACATAGAAATCAGTAAATACTTCTAGTTGTTTAGTTTTAAATTTTCAGTTATCTACCGTTATACATTAACAAATTGATATATTACCAGTAAATTGTAACGGAACAAATGAATAATTAACCGAGTTACCTGTACATAGAAGAGGTCGGATGTTATATTCAGTTGAAATTTGGAGTTGGAACGTTACATCAAAAACATTCTTGTTTATGTACCGATTTCGAGTGAAATTGGATATCTAAGTCATAGTGAGATCGATATGTGTTACATAAAACACTAAATTTTACAACCTAATTGACTGTTAGTGACCAACTTCAATCAACATTGGAGTAGTTAAAAATTCATTGCAACTATGTATATTTATATTCTGTAGGTCTACAAATACAAAAATATTTAAATCAATCAATCATCAACTCATGAGTTTATCTAATCCATAACAAGGATTGAATACTATAGACCAACTAGGATAAGACTATTAATTTGAGAGAGTTGATATCACTTTCATTATACTTGAAGACAATCGTTTTAAAACTGTTTAGTGTTCAAAGATATTCTCTAAACAAAACAAAACGCCAAAAATAATATTTTCAAGAAAAGAGGTTAGAATGAAAATAATGCTACTGACATATACTACATAAAACAGTAATCCTACCAAGTACAGTCGATTAATATATTATTTAATCAAGTCAAATTTAATGCAATCTGAATAACAAAACCATTGTTCAATAGTTGTTAACAAATCTACATCCTGATGGTCATTCCTAATATCATGGCTTAATATTGACATTTGAAAAATAATTCACAAATTCTTTGCTTCATTTTAATCTTTTATCCAAAACTATCTTTTGTAATCATTGATAAAAAGTATGATTATATATATATATATATATATATATATATATACTACTTGAATTCATAAGTCAGTTGAAGGTAGACCACCATGGAAAACCTGAAAGCACTGGACGACCATTTCGTCTTAGTATGGGATTCTTCAGTAGCGTGCACTCACGAACCCATCCCTCGAGATTCGAGTTCAGAAACTATTTGTCTCGTGGACGGTGGCGCAATTTCGTGGATTGGTTGAAGTTTTATATATTAGCACCGTTGGATGCCAACTCAGTGGTCTAGAGGTTAAGGGTTCATGTGCGAGACCATTAGATCCTGGGTTCAAATCTTTCGAATCATGATCATGGATGCGCACTACTGACGAATCCTATACTAAGACGAAACGGCCATCCAGTGCTCACGGGTTTTCTATGGTACTCTATGTATCTATCTATCTACATAAGCCAAGTATTTATTTTAGTTTATTTTAAATGAATCAACCGAATAAATTCTATTAGAATAAGCAATCTTTTTTTATTCAATATAATAATAATATTAGAGATTACAATCGTACGTTTTATAATTAATTAATGATGAATCAACAACAAGAAAAAACATAATAAGTAATAGTCAATAACAAAGTATTTCTAATTAGTACTGGAATGCTTATAATGATTATAATTTCTAAAAAGATCTTGTTTATTTTATTATTTTGTTTTAATTATTCTATATTAAAATGATAAATAAATTAGTGAATTTAATTTAAAATAAACACGTTTTCTTTTATTCACATATTGTGTTTGTTTGTTTTTTAAAAAAAATTAACTCTGGTTCTTTCTTATAGTTTGTTGTGTTGCTGTGTAACAATAAATTTATTTTATCGTATCACTTCTTTTTCTTAAAAAAAAAGAAAAAATCGTAAAAATGTCGGTAAAATGTGTAGTTAGTTGCCGAGGTCCACTATCTTATTGTTTGTTAAAAAATATTAATCATTAAATTGTATGATAAAGTGAGAAATGTATATAATTATAGAAAATCATGTGTTTTATCACCTTGTATATATATAGACTGTTTAGCTAACTAATTCATGTATATAAGGTTATACTTTGATTTATTTTGATAATTGATAATTAATTTCGTCAATTTGTCATTATTATAAATTGTACTACAAATTGATTGTAGTTAGACAACTAAGAAACACTTGATAGCTATTTCGTCTTAGTATAGGACTGTCATGCAGTGCGGATCAACGACTTCATCGAGATCAGAGAGAATAATTGACTTTTAAGTTACTGAGCTGAGATTTAGTGGTATTGTTCTGCTATATACTCCATTATTTATTAGAGGATTAAAATATTTAAAGACCTATGTCTATAATTTCTTTGTTTATTCTTTTATGTTTGCTAAATATAAATTGGTTAGACGTTTTAACGTGAATTTAATTAGATAATTTCCTGAAAACTACTCTAAAAAGTAATGTAATTCTTAACAACATTAGGTATTTTGAAATCAGCTAGAATGATTTAGTTTGTTATTTCCGTTGCCATTTTATTGGCTGAGTTGATAGAAAAAAGAGTTCTTTAAAATAGTAGTTTATTTAAGGTTTCAGCCGCATATATCTGTATCACAGAGTCCATTTTTAATTCTGAACTTGAGCTCAAAACCATTCACTTCAAACGCCATCGTGTTATGAAACTAGCTACTGAGTGAAGAAAGATATTGGTTTGGGCAATTAGTGCTTAGGACTGCAATCGATCAGTTTTCTTTCGATTATGTGTATGTTGTGAAAATTGCCTCAATATTACCATTAAGTCACAAAACGTTTTAAGCAGAGATGGATGGTCGCTAACAATGGGATCCGGAACAACCATTTTGTCTGGTTCGTTTATCAATAAAAAATGATTTTTCATTGAGTGACGTTTTTTCTATAAAGCCATATCACTAAGAAATTATTTATTTATGTAGACACATAAATACTGGTACAAAAAGGCACCAAATACATATGCGCCACACATTATTTGCTTTACGTGTGGGGTGTTATACTGCTCAGGTGCCCAAACCGAAGCACATAGTTTTCTTAGGATGCCATACCCGAAGACTTCGACCCAAAGATCTGATCCAGAAGGCAATGGGGCAACGTTAGAAAATGAAGTCCCATGGTAGCCGGTGACCAACACCATTTGTTCCTTCAGGAAACTAGAGCCTATGTACACCATTGGTTTGAAATCAGGGTTTTCCAACACCTCTAGGTGGATCATCCATATCCGCCAATCCAGTAAAAGCGCCAGACATCCGCTTTTCATCTTCTCAATTTCGTAAACAACACCCCCGCCGCGAGACGTCAGTGAATAGGGCTTCCCTGCCAGTGGCTGTATACGCGTGGCCATGTTAAAGCATTTCGATAGGGAAGGCGGACTCTCTCTGACCTTGGCCGTACTATCTTATCCTTGGTCTGATACTTTTGTGAAATGAAGATTGTATTGAACTTCTTCAGTATTAGGATCTAATAAGTGGGGTGCATTTTATTGTCAAACAATACATAGACATTCAGTAGTATAATTAACGACATAAAAAATTGTACTAAAGAATAAAAATAAAATTGTGATGCAAATCAATTGTATCTTAGATATTTTACAACTTATTTCGTTTAGCTACTTATCAACAAAATCACTGGACAACGTTTTGCTTATAACAATAATTTCTCTCATACTTTGTTGTTATTCTTAGTGGTATGACAGACAACCAACCATTCAGATGTATTCAATTTTTTGACCTATTGATTACAGTATTCACGATATATATATATTTGAGTACAGGTGGTTATTGTAAGAAATATCTTTCTTTGTCTAATTAGTGTGATAAAATTATAACTGACTGCTTTATTTCAATGGAGGAATATAATTGGAAAGATACTAATATGGCCTTATTCGGTTCCGATGAAGAAAGATCTATCAAAAGTAAATATGTAATTCAGTGATAGCTTATTTCTTTTAACAAAAATTATTATTATGTGAAATAAGTATGTCATTAAGTAAGTGACAAATATGTAAATAAAGTCACAATGGAAAGCATCAATCAAATAGTTAACTATCTAAACTTGATTTCTTATAAACCATAAGTTCATGTAGAATTGTAGATCTTTATTATGAATGACAGTTCAAAGTAAAACTCTTAACGTTGAAATAATTATAGTCAAAGTGCTTTAAGTTCCTGTATTGTTCCTCTTCACACATAACAGTAATATGAATTGATTTACCGCAATTATATTTTAGATGCTTAAGTGTTTGTTAATTCAAATAATTATGAGATGATCATATAATTAAAACAATCCATAGTGTCATTAAATAAGAAAAATAGAATTCAGCGAAGAAAATTTTTTCTCTTTTCGACAAAATCATTTACTTAAGCTATACATTCGTATATATAGTTCTATGGAAAATATATGTCTATAGAAGGACAGAAAACATTACATCCTTACCCTTTGATTACTACTTAACCTCAGTTGAGATTTAGTCTCGAATCCATTTATGATTCAATCTTTTCTATCCTTTTAAAGACATATATTCTCCATACAACTATATATATATATATGAATTTACAGCTTAAGCAAGTGATTTCGTCGGAAAGAGAAAAAAACGTTTCTTTGTTAAATACTTTTTTTCTTATTCAACGAGATGATCATATGAAAAAGATTATATTTTTGAAAGTTAGATTAATTATTGTTCTAATATTGTTTTCTGTTGAATTTGCCTAACAAGTTAATATGTTCTATAGTGCTAAGATATAATATGTTCATTCGAAGAAAGGATTCAACTATTAACTTCCAGATTTTCCATGGTGATCTAGCTTCAATTGATTCATGATCTCAATTATTGATACTAATTTAAGTGTAAACAATTACTTATTTGCCATGTACATTAAATAATGTATATTTTAAAACTTTTGAAAATAAATATTAATTTATCTATAATGATGTGAATGTAATTCTACATTTATGCATATGGACTATTTTATCAACATTCATTTATCACCATCTTACTGACTTTATTGACTCTGTCTTATAAAACACTACTTTAAGTATTTTCAGTAAGTACTAGGATGAAACGATTGTTCAATGTTTCCAGGTTTTACATAATGGTCTAGCTTCAATTGACTCATGAATTCAACTAATGAAATTACTACAATCTTCACAAAACCCCTCTCTATTAAAAATACGTGTTTAAAATAAATTGTTTATTGTTGTGTTAATTTTTTAAATTTAGAGGAAGCTGCTAAAACTGAAGAAGCATGGCAACAAATAAGACCAATTGGAAAATCAACACTTTTGGTTTGGAGAATAAACGTTAGTTTAAATTAGTTTTTTTTCCTCCAAATTTCCAAACTAGTTATATATAAATCTAAGGATTATAATAAACATCTACAATTATTAATGCCGGAAACTGAATGTTAAGACATAATATAAGGTTTAAGAGAGATTTTAGTTTATTAAAGTTAAACGGTCCAGTTGTAAGTGTTTACTGAAAATGCTTAAAGTAGTATTTTATATGAAAACATCGTTGAAGTCAGTAGGATGGTGATAAAACTGTAATCAACATAAATGTTGATGAATAGAACGAACAAGACAAGCGTAAAAGATTAAAAGTACTGGGAAGAAATTTTATGTTGTTAGTTGTGTGGATCAGTGAAATTTATCGGATAGCTGTAAAGTAAACATCCTATAGATACTAAACAATGAAGAAGTTTACTACTATAGATTCTCATTATATACAAGATATCAAGTCGAAACTGACATTAAATAAATTTTATGGATGTTTGAGATCTCGGTAGACTCTATACTTTTTCTACGGTACCTCATTATAAGTAATTGTATGCATGTATGAAACACGATAAAGTGCACAACTTCCGAGATTCATATTTTGTAAATTTTCATTCTCATTGACTCAGAGCAGCTTTGTAAACACAGATGGATAGCGCCTAGAAGTGGAATCAGGGATGCGAGTTTCGTCTTATTGAGGACTCGTCGGCTGGATGTATCTGCATTCTAGGGTTGACGTTCACTCTAGTAGCAGCTTTTCTCGAAAATGCTTGTAAATCAACGGAAAAGATCTACTATTACCACATTCCTGTCTAAACAGTAGTACAGGATGGCTGTAATACATACAATACATAGTTTGATTAGTTTCCATTGAACAAAAATCAACATTCTAACTGAAATCGATGCCATGATTTGGAATAAGAGAACACGATTCTATTTACCATCAATCAACTAAGTCACCATTATGAACAAGACTAAACACCATATCAACGTAGCAATCATAGTAAACGAAATTTAGGTTCAGAGTTCTCTTGACTTAACCTAAACAGATAAAATGGCTTTTCATCAGCATATCTTATAATATATAGCTTATTCAACTTCTCATCCAAACATTAGAACTTATAAGCTAAACATGTTAGCCAGAACTTGTCAAATCTAAATCTAAACATAAAGAATAAATTCAATTGAACTTCATTTATTGACAGCTGGAAATGTTAATTGGGATTTCACTCTTGTTATGATCAACACCTAAATTTACTTCATTCATCAGGAAACTCCCAATCTAATTGTCTTTCTTTGAAATTTAAAGACATTACTTTTATATAACCCATATATAACAAGGAAACAACATAAACATTAATACCATTATTAGACATTGTATACTATCATCCTGAGATCATTGAATTCCGTTTCTTAGTATAATTTCGTCCAAGATTTTATATATTAAGTGGATACAATGAAAGAAAAGTAATTTGTCATTACCTTTTTTTCTAAACATAGAATATATAAATTAAAATAGTAATAATTTTACTTGATATTTCAACAAAATAATTAAAAGGATATTTAAATCAATTTCGTAATTATTACATAACAACACCATTTAAGATTACGTCAATGAGAGAAATCAACAACTTATTACTATTCAAATCACTGAGATATTCATGACACTTAGTGAATTATTCTTTAAAACAAATTATACAATATTCAATTATTTCTATTATATTAAAAGAAATTTAATCTGGAAGTCGTAAAGTCAGAAGATATTGGGACGTTTTATTCTGGAGATTCATATATTGTCTTGAATATAGAAAAAGTTGGCGATGATTACAATTATGATGCTCATTTCTGGATAGGAAAGAAAAGTACTCAAGTGAGTAAATTTACAAAAAAATATAGATATTATTGTATCATTTTTATATATTTAGTCAAGATGAAACTAATCACTGTCATATACAACACATATTCGACTGGCCATCAACTTGATGAATTAAAATGTTTCGAAAAATTTTAGTTTCACTAATTATACATAGCCTCATTAAGTTAATCTTAAGAATTGATAAAATATTAGAATTACCTTCTTACTTCTATTCATAAAAGATAAATAGAATATTACAGTCTATACAGTGACATTATATCATCGATAAACAGAAAAATTCTTCCAGTTACAAATTAAACAACATTCTGTTCAGACACTCGTTCATAATCGAAACAATTCACTATACTGCTTAACATTCCCCTAATTTTAATAATCTGGACCCTAGAGTGTTGGTCAACTGAATATAAATGTGGCTACACCATATAATGATCAATACATTATTTATTAGGGCTGAAATTTCTAATGAATATTTCAATTATCCAATGAAACATCAATAAGTTTGTTTGTTCTAAAGTACACTAAAATCAGGTTTAAAACATTTTTGACTATGAGAGTTTCATAGCAAAACAATGGTTGATCTTATCCTTCCTCAGGTATAACTGTTATTATAACAAACTCAAGGTAATTTCTTTACTCGTTAAACAGTTTACAAATGAATAATTCAACACTAGAAACAATTTAGGGGTAACATTTTGGAATTCTAAAATAATTGATACTAGGTGAAATCTGTCAGTGAGTTCATTTTGTTGATATTTTTCGAGTATGATTATCAAGCAACTGAAAGCCCCTGATATAACGCTTGATTTACTGCTTCGACAAACTGAACAATATGTCTTCATTTATAAAGTTACATTAACTTAAATAAAATGTTAATATTGCTGATTCACTAGAGATTTGACCAATTAAATAAAAAGATTGTTGATAGCTGTAATCAAAATTTATTATTTATCACTAACGGTAAGAATTGCATATTTGCACAGGCAAATACATTATTACGTAATCTCATTTAAGATTTGAAATGATGATGAATAGTAATCAAATACAAGTAATAAATTTAATAATACCGTAACGAACACTGTAATTTATATGCGAAGTAAAGTTGGCAGTTATTAGTCACTATAAATTGTGTAATGGTTTACTTTATTTCAAAAGATTATTCCTAATTATCAACGTATTTTGACATTATAAAATCTTTCACTGCAAATACTATTCAACTAGTTTCGGAAATAAAAAAAATAAAAAAGCCAATGTTTAATATCATATTGTCTGATAAGAAATTCAGAAAACTGGATATCCCTACATTTTTGAAGTGGAAAATCTAAAACAAAACTAACGAACATTATCTTGTTTGGTATTTAAAGTAGATTTCTAACATTTAATTCGAAATACCATGGCATTTAATCTCATTAATGGATATATCTATGTTATTTTATTTCCAGCTTCATTTTTTAACTTGATTAGATTTATTATTATTCCATTTATACAATCTTTTAATTCAACAGATCAACAGATTACATATCCTAAGGAAATTAATAGTATGTAGATTGAAGATTATTTCATCTTTCTTATCTGAGACAACATGGGTTTACCATATTACGAGTTGGTTAAAAATACAGATCTAGAAATGATTTGACTTTCTGAAACATCTTCTTTAAAGAATGTGTAACTTACTTTTCATTTCGATAGAACAATGAGAAGACGGAGTTGATCTGAAAAATGTGATGTATTTGCGCTATACATTTCGAACAGTCTGGTCACACATATACTTGTCAATGCATTTTTATATAAAAATTAATAAAGGTCAAACAAACAAAAGTACAATTAAAATAACTAAGGGGAGAGAAAGAATAAGAAATTGTCGCGTTATCCTAGGCCATAGAATGACTTAAAAATTACCAAGGTAAATTCAAGGTTACGACAAATTGTTTTTGTACACATAAGCGGGGTTTAAATTTACGAATAGCCAAGGCTTCAATAAACTTAAGAATTCGACCTTGACAAGTATATGTGTGACCAGATTGTTCGAAATGTATAGCGCAAATACATCACATTTTTCAGATCAACTCCGTCTTCTCATTGTTCTATCGAAATTTATAAAAGGGACTAATTGCTTTACTTTTCATTATCATGATGACAAGATTTATGGAAAAGACCTATTATGCACTAATACTGTTTTGATAATTTACACTGTTATTATAGGATAGCAACTAATGATGGGAATAAATAAAACAATATGCATACACATACACTGCAGATTGTTAGCTAGACTAGCTATCACCAATACGATTTCAATTTTGATTTCATAATAATTAGCATAACAAGTAAATCTAGTTAATTATTCATTTCCATTACTAAGGTAACCGACATTTTTAGTTGGTTTAAAAATAGCTACTTTATGTATGAATGGATCCTACACACACGTGGACATAGTTAAGGGTGGAGAATAGTCAGTTTATTTCACTTAATAAAACTATTGCAGTGATTATCTACATTTTCTGTAATATACTATAAACTTCATTATTGTTTTCATTACTCCCCATTAATTGATAAGGATGAATATGTAACTGCAGCTTACAAAACTGTAGAGTTGGATACATTTTTAGACGACAAAGCTATTCAACATCGTGAAGTCGATGGATTGGAGTCAAAACAGTTTAAAAGTTATTTTAAAAAGTTTAGGTAAGTCATCAAAACTTTCTTGCGTTTGTAATTTTTTTGTAAATCACTAAAATTTCCATTAAATTATGTAAAATTCCAAAAAGAAAGCAGTATAATATTAAACGAATGTCACTGTTTACCAGTTGAAAGATAGTTTCCTACTAAATGTAATTCTTGAACAGTGATACAGTAACTTGTTAACTTATCAACTGTTTAAATGTAGTTGTATTTAATTAGATTAGCAACACTTGCACATCCACTAATAAAAATGGTTTAGCGATACACCATAAATGTTCACATTAAAATAACCACGGAGTTGAATAAAGAATTGAATAAAGAGTTGAAGGAATTAATAAGATTCAAGCACATATATATGGGAAAGCGAATGATTTATTGAACAGTGAAGCAACTAACATTCAAGCTAACGTGAGGGATATGTGCACAGGCTGTCACATATGATCAAACAAATACGCTCACACAGACATGATAGTAATATTAAGATGTAAGAATTTTCGCTGTTCGAATCACATTGTCTATTAACTAAGTTAATTGATGTTCTAACAAAATAAAAAGTAAACATAATTTAGTGTGAGAAGAATGCCATACAAATACGTCAGTCAGTAACAATCTGGGATAAGTGTACAACGGTCACATTACCGCATTACATCATCACAATTCAATGAAATTATCTATAGACATAACATACTAATCGAACTACCGGTAGTTTTGATCACCGTGAAAAAACCGAACACCGAATACGTTGTTTTAAACATAGATCAATTTTGGAAATAAAAGGAAAAAAGTGATATTAAAACTCCATCACATGAAGTAATATTGGATCGCTGAACTAAGTACTGGTTTTTCAAATATATTTATTAAAATGACTCTTTTGTATCAAAAGGATAATTCTTATCTTTTTCATAATGATTACTAATTCAAAATTAAGTCTATAAACTACACGATGTCTTTCATAATATATTCGACACTTGAACATCGAAAAATGTTAATATCCGTTTTTCCTCTATACTCATTTCACTGAATTTTAATTTAGATGCCAACCCACATCAAAACATACACATGGAGGTCAAATGTGATTACATACTTTAATATTTTAGTGAAAAAAAATCAAATTTACCTTAGAATCTATTAATTCTATCCCATAAAATCTTTTTTTTCTAAACTGTATTTTCATTCATTTATTCTCTGTATACAATAAACATTGCATTGTTACTAGTAACAACTCAAGTTGTGAGAATAATCTTGAATTTCCCGTTCACACCTAAACTAAACGACTTTAATATAGAGTTAATAAGTTTAGAAAAATTATATGAAAACCGAAAAGTAAACTAAAGAATAATAACATTAAAGAGAAAGAATGTATTTGTAAAATCTCAACGAAAGAATTTGAAGTAAATCGAACGTTTCGCCTGGCAATCTAGTCCAAGCTTATTCGATAATTTTAATGTTTGATTATATTTGTTTGAAAAAGCTTAGACTAGATTGCCAGGCGAAACGTTGGATTTACTTCAAATTCTTTCGCTGAGATTTTACAAATACATTCTTTCTCTTTAATGTTTCACATTAACTTGGCGCCCAAATACTGTGAAATTATTCGATCAAGTTTGAACGAAACTTCTTATTCAAAGAATAATAATCTTATATTTTCGTCTTTGTAACTAAATAATTAAACATATCGTCTGCACAATTGTCTTTTAAGCTTCTTGTAAATGTGTACATTATCATTCTTAGATAACATCTTGTAATTTAAAAGAAGAAAATATTCTATTATGGAATTTAAAAAAAAATCTAATCAAGCAAAATCTCTTTGAGAATAAATGCCAAATTTACATTCAGCACATCAATCAAAATGTGTATATTATCTTTAATATGTTATGTAACATGATTTTATTACTGAATTCAATAGAGATAAGAAATAGAATACAGTAAGTAACACGTTATACTTAGGGTATATATGAGGATAGCTAATTGTTTATGAAATGTTATATTTTTTAACATGTAAGAAAGAATTGAATTTATTATGGGGATTATTAGATGATCTTTGTGCATATTGAAGGCAATGTTTACCATAAATCAACTAATCATATACTAGAAAGTAATGAACGTTAATACTTGTCTGAAACCAATTCAAGGCATTAACCCATGATGAAATACGAAATAAAGTTCATGATTTTCAGATCTCATGGACAATGTTGATAGCTCTAGATTACTGAGTCAGATTTCAGTGGATCCCACACTAAATTCTAGTCAATTTTTTTGTGTAGGATGACCATTTTCTTCCCATTCTTCCACTGGTTTATAATTGGAGATTTTGATCTGATTATCTGTGAGATCGGCTGAGAATTAGTAAGAAGTGCCTAAGTAGGACTATGTAGCTATTCAATTCCTCCCTAGTTTACAGTGGTCCTCTAAACGAAGTCATTTAGTCACCAAAATTACTTTCAAGTATTTAGGAATCTCTTATTTGGTAATCATAATCGCAACAAATATGGGTATAACATCACTTTTTTATTTCATTTAACTACTTTGTATCAATGTATTTTTTTAATTACAAACTTTACCATTATTCACACAGTCTACTGATCGTGTAGTTCAATAAATTTTAATCGGAACTCTCTGATTTTCATCATTCGTCAGTATATTCAATAATAATCACACAGTCTCTTTTCATGTATGAAATATAACTGAAATCAAATATTAATTAGGTTTGCTACATAATTAACAATTGTATTTTCTATATTTATCATTATATTGAAACGTTTTAGAACACTTGAAGGTGGTTATGATAGTGGATTTAATCATACAAAACCAAATGAATTTAAAACAAGGCTTATACACTTTCGAGACATTGATTCTTCACATGTTGAATTACGTGAAGTACCTTATTCTAGAAATTCTTTAGTTTCGGAAGATGTTTTCATACTGGATTTAGGATCATTAGCTTATCAATGGATTGGTAGTAAGTCAGGCAAATATGAACGATTTAAAGTAAGTTAATGTTCATTCAAATAAAAAAGTTTTCAACTATAAGTGTGTTTTATTTGGGAGGTATTTATATTAAATGAAATTCTTGAATGTTTTATTAACTTAATTACTACATAATTCTCATTTAAGATATTACATCCCTTTCTACTGATATATTCAAAAGAACGTTCTTTATTACATTTTCATATGTTTAGTTCTCATAAATAAATTTAAAATAAAATTTCCTTGTAACCAGTCCGTACTCGTAAATAAACTAAAATTATCCAATTATGGAGTAATTACTTTGAAATCTGGCTATTATTAGAAGAACTAAAGGTAAAGCCTTTCATATTTTAAATAAAAGACGTAGTTGCTAATTCGAAATCAGGTTAATGACTTTTTGTGTACCTGTTTAACACTAGATTTGAACAATCTACGTTTATTCCCGTTCTCATATATATCCATTCATTCATTTGTCTAAATATCGTTTTGGTATTTTAACTGATGTCAGTTCGTGATGAAAACCATAAATCTAATTCCTTACCCTAACAGTCAACCGTAAATAATAATCCTTATTCTTTATACTGCTTTATAACCGTCATTTCGCGCTAGTAAGTAAGTGGACATTCTCAAGATCACTGAGCCGTCGCTCAAAAGTCATCCGTATATTATGGTCTCACCGAATTAGTTTCTTAGTCCTAGTGCAAAACAACGGTCTAGTTCTTTTTTGATGGTCTTGTTAATGGTGTTGTTGACTGAAAAAATTTACTGATCTTCACAAACCACTATACTGGTATTGTGGTGTGTGCTAATGATGTCGACAGATCTAAGTAGTATATACCATCAATCGAAAATGAAATGCCTGGCGATAGAATGTTAAGAAGATCAAAGAGAAGAGAACGACAATACAAATGTCAAGACAGTTCTGCTGTATGGGGCAGAAACCTGGAGAACTACGAAAGCCATCATCCAGAAGGTACAAGTGTTTATTAACAGTTGTCTACGCAAAATACTTCGGATCCGTTGGCCGGACACTATTAGAAACAACCAACTGTGGGAGAGAACAAACCAGATCCCAGCGGAGGAAGAAATCAGGAAGAAGCGCTGGAAGTGGATAGGACACACATTGAGGAAAGCACCCAACTGCGTCACAAGACAAGCCTTCACATGGAATCCTCAAGGCCAAAAGAAAAGAGGACGACCAAAGAACACATAACGTCGAGAAATGGAGACAGATATGAGAAAAATGAACAAAAATTGGATGGAACTAGAAAAGAAGGCCCAGGACAGAGTGGGTTGTAGAATGCTGGTCGGTGGCCCATGCTCCAACGGGGAGTAACAGGCGTAAGTAGGTAAGTAAGTACGATGCGATTTATTTTACACGACTTATCAACAAGAAAATAAAACCAAACGAAACCGATAGTGATGGAAAGATGAAAACTTGAATGAAAGTGTATGTTAATTATGTACAATATTTTCATTTCATTTCGAACATTTTTAGCAAAAAATTCCTATTCGAAAAGTATTTATATCCTTTTAAAATGTCCCTTTTTATTATTTTTACCTATTTATCTATAGAGTGCAGAATATTTATTGAAACTTAAAAGTGAACGTAATGGAAGATGTAAAATTCAAGTATTAGAAGAAAATGAAAACTCGCATGAATTAGTTAGTGTGCTTTATTATGAATATTCTATGTTCTATTCCCATCTATAATCTTCATTAAATTATTCATCTAATATATAGACAGGATCAGCATAAAGGTTCATTATTATTTATTATATAAATGTGAATCATGTTCGATGAAATTTCACATACTCTACTTTCTATCTATTATAGACTGACTAAAAGTACTTATAATAAGTCTATAAACTTAAAGAACTGCTATACAACTCAGTTGAAAATCTATTTTTCTAGTACTTGGGTACTAGATATGCATATTAAGGTGACTAAAGATCGTAGACAACTGAACTAGTCTAGACAGGGACATGTAGTCGATGACCTCTGCTCACAGCCGCCCACACATACATCTCTGCCATCTATGGGCTTGAAAATAGCATATGATCCATCCGCATTACCGGTGCAGTAGATGAAATTTTTAAAATGAAATCACATTATCTTCTTGGTTGTTTGCTTATAAAATACTTCATTAGTCAGCAAACATTCTGAACATGTAAATGGGTTTGGAAATACAGATAATGTTTCTTGAAAACATTTCCAATCTATCAATTTTGGCAGAACCATAAATTATTCACACAAATTTTTACAGGTCTTTTTTTCACGGATATTGATGGCCTCATTTTAATTTTACTTACATTGAACTCTTCCTTTTATCCATTCAACTTTAAGAAAGAATTTTTAGCCAAGCTGCCGAATACCGAAATTACTGCACCTTCTAAAAATAACTGCGGAATGAAGGCAGTTCATCGGTAAGTTATTCAGCTTACTGTGAACAGATCATTTCCGAATATTTTAATACGTTGTTGTCATTCTTATTAGAACTATGATGTTAAACCCTTTTGAACAAATATATTAGATTCCAATGAAGAATGGATGCAGCTACTTCACACCGTTTTTAATATATTTAGGGTATCCACTATAATACTACCTGGGTGATAATATGCTATGAGAAACTAACCATAATTGTGTTGTAGAGGCAATGGTGTGTCACATTTACTGCCAAGAGCTGACTAGTGGGAAGAAAGTGTTCTGTGAGTGAACTAGCTGATATATATACCTTCAGAAACAATGAAGGAATAAAACTAAAAGTTACGATTCTCTGAAATCTAACAGGAAAGTACCTTAAAAGAGCTGGTTGGCACTATATATACGAAGACAGTCTGTTACTTAGCATCATTACAATCAACTTACCTAGGGCTCCACAGTGCTAATACCTTAGGCTAAATGATAAAAAGTTAAAATGAAGTATTTTCTTCAGAGTCAGAATTTACCTAAATATAGATCAGTGAGTAAAATGAAAATGACTAAGTAGTTATATCTATCTAAAATACCTGAACAAGTCACTGACTACTCAAAAAGTTCAAGGGAGACACGGCTGCTGAGACACTGACTAACTAAATCTTTGAGAAAGACCTTTCATTCGGTGAATCTTCCAACTGTTTCTTTTGTAAGAACTTCACTTAAGGAACTGTCGGGCATAATATACCACTTTAGGTTATTGTATAGCCCAAGAAAATGATATATTTGGGAAAAAACTTCCTTCTTTGAATAGTCTTCATTCTTCCACATGAATCAATAGGTTACTATCGCTGTTCTAGAATACATTTTTTCAAAAGATCACCCAAACTTATAGATTACTTCCTGAAGCCAAACAGTTAGTATTTCAATCAAGCTGAAATTGACTGGAACAAAATTATTAATTAACTTTCACACAGTCATGTTGATTTCAGTTTCAAAACCTAAACTTGCAAATGCTAAATACTACTTGGGGATTTTCAAACATGATATGCCTCAATCAAGCTCATCCACTTGAAGCTGTTTACTTGAATTTTTCTTTAATGCATTACATAATATTTTCGTATTGTTATTATGGCTACTTATAAGTAGCTAACGTTAGTCTGGAAATTTTCATCAGATGTAAGTTTATGACACAACTTTTGTTTGCCTTGTTTCAAAAGAATGTAAGTGACTAAATATTAAGTCTTCACGTTTGTTTTCACCAGTTGAGTAACTATGGAAGATATGGAAAATATAATTGTAGTACCTTAATACGAAATATAATCAGAATTTTCGGATTGTATTAAAATCTTATGTCACTGACGGCTGAATTAAAAGCTGATCATATCTACAGTTGCAAGGCTTACTGTAATTAGAGTAGATTTCCATCCTCGCTGTCAGAATATCTTGTTTACTTAAATATATCATGGCTCATAAACTAATGAAGCAAAGCTTATAGCTAACTATCTTTATACCGAGCGGTAGCATAACCTTCACATGCAGAATAATTAGGAATTTCAAGTGAATATGAGAAGCACAATTTTTAATAGTTTAATCGTTTAATACAGTCAGATCTTGATAATATGTCCATTTGTATCGATTGATCTGCAATTATAGAATGTTTATTGAGCTTCCTTAAACCCTTATGAAATCTTTACAAAGGTATATCAATATATCCAACCTTCTTCACTTAAACGACATATAACAACTCATTAAATATAAGCAATGTATGTAAATGTTTGAAAAGCTATTTCGGAGTTATTTTTATCCTTGTTTATCTGCTAAACTTAGGATAAAACTATCATAAATTTTTACTCTTTATCATAAAAGCCTTTCAGATGAGGATGGGGAAATGAAATTATCTTTGGTATGTAAAGAGGTACTGCCACGATCTGTGATTACACAAGATGATGTGTACTTCATTGACAATGGGTCTCATTTATACGTCTATATTGGAGACCAGTGTTCAACCCAGGAAAAGCGAAATGCTCTATCAAATGCTCATGTAAGAGTTATTTTTACTATACAATAAATGTTATTCAATGTTTAAAATATAAAAGCTTACTGGATATCACATAGTATATATTTGAGCAAAGAGTTGCTTAATAAAAATAAACTAATGTAAACTCTAATTTGCAAATTAAAATTAAGTACACAAAAGTTCAAAACAAACTTATACATTTCAAGAAATTGAACAGAAGCATCCAAGCTTTAAGGAAAAAGATGAAACTTAATTTATTCATACACTTTTAGTAGATTGAAAGTTGAAGATTTATAATACAATAGTATAGTATAGTATGTCTAGTAAACAACATTTTATTATGAAATAAGAGACAGTATATTTATGTTTATATAATTGATAACTTTTGAAAGCTGTTTAGTAAGCTATCAATGAAAATGTTTTCTTAAACTAACTGAAATTCAGAAAATAATGTAACTATTGATCTGCTAATTTAATCGGATGTTTATGAATATCGCGGCCTTCATTTAATGCAAATATCGTAACTATTAGAAACCATAGTATTATCATATGATTTTAGTTGGAAATTTGAAGTTAAAAGAAGATAGAGTTTTCTTTTCTTTTATGAATACTGCATTATTGAGAATTCTTTACTGTTTATCAATTACATTAAGTTACTAGCAAATTTTAAATGTTTTACTAGTAAATATGTTTTCTTTGAAAAAAATTTAATCCCTAAAGTACCACTCATAAAAATAATCTTTTTATTTAGTGTTTTATTTAGCTAGTGTAGTATGCAACATGTTTGTGAATAGTTATAGAAACAACATATATCTACCCACATATAAGGGATGATTTTTTAAGACATTAAAGCATCCACACAATATAATTATATTGATTACTGTTTAAAAATCTCTTTTCTTGGGTAGATTTAGATTGTTTCTAAGACAATTTATCATATGCTTCTCTCTTACCCTTTAATATGCAGCTTAATATAAAATATAAAACTGTGAAATTTTTATAATATTATACTTGTAAACTTTATTAACTGCAAACTTAATATTGATTACTATTTGTTTAAAATGTTGATGTTTACGCATGACATTGCACGAAATTCCATTTTGTAATCAGTTTTATATCACAAACACTCTAGAAGTACAAGCAAGAAAAATACTTTACATTTTGACTATCATGAAATGTAACCATTTTTCTGGTGTTAGTTATTTAAATAACAAAATCCTAACTTCATCTATTAAATTATATTTTAATCAGAAGGGGTTTATGTTGATATTATAGTAATTTCAATAGTTGAGATCACGAGTCAATTGAAGCTAGACCACCATGAAAAACCTGGAAGCACTGGACGGCCATTTCGTCCTATTGTAGGACTTCTCGGCAATGCGCGTTCACGACACCGCCTCGCTAGATTCGAACCCGGGAACTATCGGTCTCGCGCTTAAACTCCAGATCGCTGGACCAGCATACAACGGTGTTGATGTTTAATTTCAACTAATCCTCGAAATCGAACCACCGTATACCATTGTCTTCAGTGACTTACTATCTCACAACAGACCCGGTTGAACTCCATTGGTCACTGCTTCTGGTGGATTTGTCGCTCGATTTCGTGGATTAATTGAAGTTAGATATTAACACCGTTGGATGCCTGTTCAGTGGTCTGGAGTTTAAGCGCGAGACCGATAGGTCCTGGGTTCGAATCTCGCGGGGGGGGGGCGGGATTGTGGATGCGCACTGCTGAGAAGTCTTATACTAGGACGAAAAGGCCGTCGGGCGCTTCCAGGTTTTTCATGATGATTTAACTTTAATTGACTCATGATCTCAACTATTGGAATTAAATGTTCATATTAAAAATTAATTTAAAATTAGGGTTGATCAATTTTTTTATCGATAAGTGATCAACACTATTTTAGTGTTTAATGTTATCTAGAATGGTTTCTCTAACGTGTAGAATCTATAGTGACTGATAAACATCGTCTTTATATAAATATGTAATATTCAACATTTATTTTCTGGAAATGAAAATCCAATTCAGTGAACTTGGAAATAATATACAATTTTATTAAATACTTGATTATTGTTGAAATGTGAATGTCATTTCAAACTATTTGGGTTACATTAGTCAAGAAGATAAATTATTCTTTGTCCACATTATAACAGTTCTGAACCCTGGCAATCCCCTGTCAAGTACTATTAATTAATTTAATCATTTATACTAATGATATGATGTTAAAGGAAGATTACTTTGTATCAAAATTGACTGAAGTCGAAACCATTAATTACTGATGCTTGACTTGTTCTTCAGTAGAAATCATACTTGCTCCGAAACTAAAATTTCCAAGTTTTGATGAGGTCCAGAGTTGTGAATGCTTACCTTTGAAGAGTCTCAAATCAAATCAATTCAATTTTGCAGTGCTCTACACTTTTTGTTAGTTTCTGTGGGAAACATTCTTCGGTACAAGAAGATTCAGATAATGATTCAGTATACAGATTTAAATTTTCCTTTCTGGATTTAAGATATTTTGGTATAATTGATATCATTTGTGCTTAACCAAAAATTCTTTATAGGATGATCATAACGTTGACTGAAAAGTGGTGAATTTATGTCACATATCAGCATCTATAATACTCGAATTGATACATACATCAACTCTTATACTACTTACGATTTCATGGGATAAACAATAGGCGTGTTTGTAAAACTCTTTACCAATACGCAAATCCGACATATTTTAAAGTCTAAATCCGATTTCTTTCTCAAAATTAAGACTCTTATCTCATAATGATGTGTTATAACGAAATTAAATGATTATAATGGGGTTGAAAGTGGTCGACGAGAAACCCTGAAACTAGGTTTTGTGCTATTCGGTGCTCGTCAGCAGGGTGTACCTTTGATACTGTTAGAAATGATGTTCCTTGTGATATTCAAATCTACCCCATCCAGTGTGAGAAGTTAACAATGAGCTATTCTGGCAACGACTGACCTACTACAGCAGTGAAATATTTACAATTGATTGATCTAAGGTATCCTATCAACTACTTTCAACAATCTAACGTCTCAATAGGGTGGTACGATGTTAAGTGATCTCATTGGATCTTGATAAATAGGATTCTATCGGCATCAGAAGACTAGATAAACATGATATATACTCAATTCTCAACGATCAAGCAATTATGAGATTACCAACTATCTGTAACGTTCCACATTCTAGTTGGTTACTTTCTTGGATTTGTGAATTCGGTCATTTTACCATGTTTACCTGTTATTTTTTCTCTGTGTAGCTTAAATTATAATGGATTATGTTAAATAGGCTTGATCAGTGAATTAGTTGCAGTCCAATCTAACTTTTCTTACCAACTTTACTTGTTTCCAAACGAAAATAAAACTTTCATGAACATTAAGCTAGTGAATAGATGTAATTAACAGACAATGAGATCGATAGAACTATGTTTAACATACAGAAAACATTTTTTTATGTAAATAGTATCATCGCAAACTAATATTATGTCGCTGCAGTACAACTAAGTTGCAGTAATATTTCGTAGGCGTGTAACAAGAACTATGTTGGTTATAGATTGTTAGAACAATATTAGAACAAAAAATATTACTAACTGACGTTTTACTAAAGGCTAACTGTGATAGATAGGTGAATAGAAAACAGAACTCATTAGTGTTATAAATTTTTTTAAATGAATGTTCTTTGTTAATATAAAAATCTTAACTTGTTTCTTTATTACTTTTTATCATATATTAAAAAATTTTTAGGAGTATTTAAAGGGAACTAGTCATCCACTTGTACCAATCAGCGTAGTTTGCGGCAGTGAGAAATTAACACTGTTAAAAAATATCCTAGAATGAAACAATAGGAAAATTATTTAACACTATTTCAGTTACATGAAGAAACATATTCATAATGACAGAATTGAATCATGAGTTCAGTAGTTTTTTCTACCATTATTTACCTCCATTATTTTTCTTAATAAAATGATCATTCCATTCCACTCCTATTTTGAAAATGTCAGGTGATTTATTCCTAGTTTTAAAAATATGATTCGTCTGTAAAGGAATAATAAATTATTTGTCGATGTAACATTAAAAGTTCGACTGGCTGGTGACGAAATTTTGTTTAGCGTATCTGAAAACAAATTTTTCTAAAAATAAAGATTTATATTCTGAAAATTGAAGATACCCTCCTACAATCTAAATACACATATAAGCAAAGATGAATGATAGCTAGCGCGTCCTGAATTAAATTGCTAACCAATATCCATCTTTGCTTACAATGCTTATGACTTAAGGCAATATCGAGGCAATCGGTACATGATGTACATATGCCAATAAGAGACTGATCAATTGCAGTTTTAAACATGAATTGGAAGATTCAAACAACCAATACAAAAATGAATTGAAACACATATTTTTAATTATCACACTCATGAAACTTCTATCAGTTAACAGTAGCAATATTAGTTATTGAATGTTTTTTGAACACATAATTATTGGTACAAAGGGACACCGAATACATATGCACCACACAAGTCACTTAACTTGTGTGTGAGCTATGATACTGCCCGGATGCCAAGACCGAGGCAGGTAGTTTTCTTAGGGGGCAACACCCGGAGCCTTCGACCTAAAGGTCTGATCCACTAGTCAGTGGAGCAACGCTAGGAAGTGCAATCGTATGGTAGCCGGTGACCAATAATTGGTTCATACGCTTTTTGTTTCCTTAGGATCCTGAAACCCATATGAACCATCGGTTTAGAATCAGAATTTTCCAACTCCCCTAGGTGGATCCTCCGTGTCCACTAACCTGGTTAAAGAGTCGGATATCAGCTTTTCATCCTCTCAATTTTGTAAACAACACCCCAGCCACGAGAAGGCAGTGAGTAGGACTTCCTGACAGTGGCTATATACGTGTGGCCATGTGAGAGCGTTGCGAGAAGGAGAGCTAACTCTTCCCACCCTCGGCCATACCAGGGCATTCGGGGGCCTGTTGATAATAATGAATGTTACGGAATGTTAATGATACTTAAATAAAACATTATTTGCTAAATACGTCCATTCAAACAATTAAATCTAGATTTTAAAGTAAATGAAAAATGATTCTTAAGTATATTTCGTTTGCTTAAAACATTCAATAAGATTTTGACAATCGTTTAATGAAAATCGGTTATGCAATGAAACAATGACCTTCACCTTAAATTGATTATTTCATCGACCTGAAATGGGTTTCCATTTAATTATCAAATACAGTTAGCTTATAGTACTTATTTCACTTTGATGGATATATATGTAGTAAAAATGATAATGTTTCGGGTTAAATTTAATCAACAATAACAGTTAGTGGTTGACCAAAAACTTTTGAAAAGTTTGGAAAATCAAAATTATTTATCTGTATGAAGCGAATTATCGTTAATTAAGTACATGAACACTATGAAATCGTGCGATTATACAATGAATAGAGATTTTACAAAATGAATAAAACTGAAACTTGACATTATGATAATAAAACCAACTGTGACAGTTAGTGATTATAGGTTGAATGATACAAGAATAATCACTTCCGTCAATGTTGGGGAAAGGTTTTGCTAAGGAATTTCAACAAATATGTAATCTATAATTAAAACTTTCTACCTACAACTACGTTGACTCCAAATAATAGTGAATGAAATGGATAATAGTTAACCAAAAAGAATGCATTTTTAGATATGTTAGCTATTGAAAAAGTTAAAATACGATAGTTTGTGAGAAAAAATCCCTTCAGTTGATCTGAACAAATCTACTTTAAAGAGTACATTCTAAAGAAAACATTTCGGTGAGATTATAATTTATAGACGAACCAAACAGATTTACAATATTAGGTCTTGAGTTTTGGCGCGAAATTAATTCATTCATTTGGCTAAATAGAGTTTTGTCATTATGGTTGATATCAGTTCGTGATGAAAACCCTATACCTGATTCTTAACCCTAACTATCAATTGTAAATATTAATCATGGTTCCTCACAATAGTTTATAACCTTCATTTATCAGTAGTATGTAGGTGGACATTCTCAAGGTCTCTTCAGCGTCGCTCAAAGGTCGTTCATAAATTATGGTCTCACCAAATTTTCTTTTTCAACAATGTCATTTAATAGAACCATATGATCGTATTTTTAGTTATTTTTTGCATATAGTAATCTATAATAAAGCCGCGAATTGTTGTGATAGTAAAGGTTAATCTAAATTCAGCTTTACGTAATCAAAATAACCCATAGTGTCATTGAATAAGAAAAAGAGAATTCAGTGAAGAAAATTTTCTTTTCGACGAAATCATTTACTTAAGCTGTACATTCGTATATATAGTTATATGGAAAATGTATGTCTATAGAAGGATAGAATGGATTGTATCACAAAAATGGATTCGACAATAAATAACAAATGAGGTTAACGTACTAATCAAGGGGTAAGGAAGAACAAAATTTAAGGGTCGGATAATAGTCCAATTGACAGATATGAAGAAAAACGACAAAACAACAAATGTCATAATAATAGACTGAATAATAATCAAGAAAACTTGTAAAAGGTAATAATAATAAATGATTAGAGTTTTAAGTGCAAAATAGTAATAATAAAAGTGCATTAAAAAAACACCTAGAAACATACCCATTAAGGGAATTAGGGCCAGGGAAGGATGAGAGGTTGGACAAATCGTTTCTGCACTCAAAGTTCAGGCTTTAGTTTGTGGATTGCCAATGCCTCTGCGGTGCATAAAATATTTATTCGAACCCCCTTCGATCCAGTTCCTTTGACTCTGTAAACTATTTTAAACGAAGAGTCTTTTGGAGCGATATGTCCACAGTTGATTAAGTGCTCCTGTTTAGAACTCGTGATTGTTTTTCGCTCCCCTTTCAAGAGCCAAGCCGGATAATGTTCCGAGATGCGTTTGGATAATGATCGCTTTGTGCGACCTATGTAACATGCCCCAAATGAGCAAGTAAATTTATAGATACACATTGAAGTGGCCCAAAGCGAAAGTTTGTCCTTAACACACCCCAGAATGGTAGGTCGGCTAGAGAAGATGATTCGAAGATTAGCTGCGTGGAATGTTTTATTCAATGATTTTGAAATCCGTTTATTTAGGATTTCAGCAGCGTCAATGGTATTAAGAAAACCTAACAAGTTGATGACTAAAAAGAAAATACAAATATTAATTAAAACATGTCAGAAACAACTTACAAAATAAAGTATGTTAGGACGGTGGTAAACCAAAAGATTTGACTGCGCCGCTGTACATTTGGTTTGATGAAGTGCTAAGCCCACATGTTTCACGTTTCACACACAAAATACAACAGAAGAAACTGCTGTCTAGTATACTTGGGTAGTTATCGGACTGTAGGGCCAGTGGAATGTCACTGAGGCCTAGCCAAATCATCCGGCAGTTGGATCACTGAATGTCGAACAGATCATCGCTCCCTGCCAAGGTCATGTACAACCAACGCGCATAAGTTAATCATGTACCATGAACTGGCCCATGCGGCAGTGGTCTCACTTTCGCTTGTATCTACTTTAACTAACATATTTCTGTAACGACGTCCCCTGTGTTGTACAGTCTTCAAAGCATCTATGGTACCTTGGTATGTCAATGGGGTAGTCCACGTAAGGTGCTGACCATGAGGTGTGACTTCGATGTTGGCTAGTTTGTCACACCATTCACGTCTAACTCGAGTAGGCCTGCAATCATTTTCGACATAGATCATCTACGTTGGTGATCTACAGGACATTATTTCAACACCATAAGTGATGCATGTTAGCAAGGGAAAAGCGAGTTTCTTGTTTCCATCTGGAGATATCTTTAGGAACCAATATATCAAGGCTGGCAAGGCTTGATTAATAAAAGCTCAGTTTACAAAATTTCTTGTTCTAATATGTAGTTGATTTTAATTCTGCAAACTTAGTAAACTATCTGATAGTCACATATACTGTGAATAACGTAAGGCAGCTTATATTAGGACATCCTTGTAAAGTTATCCTTAAAAAATAAAATTTGAATGAAAGAAACACATCGTCTTTTAATTCCCTTCAAATATGTATATTTTTATAGAGATACCAGAGACTATCACTTTGTTCTTGTTCAAATAATCAGAAACAAGTAAACTGCTATATAAATTAGCTTGTTTCTATTATAATGCTACTAAACCATATTTCCTAGAAAACCGCATTTATTTTCGGAGTCCATAATGTTTAGAACATTCCTACTGAATTGATGTAAAAATCAGTTAATTGAAAATTGATTAGAGGGTATTCAAAACATGTACTGCACAATGGAGACTATTTCGCAAATGCACTGGGATAGCGTATTTTTAGAAAAAAGAAAGATATAATCTCAGGTACAAGAATTTCTTAAAAATTGAAGTTCACGTATGAGTACCTTTTTAAGCTAATAAGAAATCGAGGTTCAGCCACTGATTAAGCAATGTATTCTAATATATGCACTTAAATTTCTCAAGATCAGGTTTATTGTTTCGGTAAACACAATTCTGTTCCGATTTTAAAAAATTAAGCGTAAAATCACTTGAATTATAACTAGATGTTTATTGAGTGCAGATGCTCTAACTAGAATCGCTCACTATGCCCAATAATATTACTATCATTAGTATTGTTACTACCTTTGACAACTAGTGGCTCTCTCAAAACATAGTTATTCACTTAGATACGTGTATTAAAGACCCTACATAATAAATACCAACTTATTGCCATGATAGCTTTTAATAAATTAAAACTCATATAATTAAATGTGTTTCAGATTCGTATATATTTTATCGATCTCTGAATGCAAGACCAAATTATCAGTAAACATCAGAATATACCTAATCGTCTC